TAAAAAGCTAAGACACTTTATAAGAAAGAATATTTGTCTTGCTATACTAATGACCTAACCACATTTTATTTAGAGCAAATATCTCTTGGTCCACAATATCTCACCGTAATATCCATAATGACTAAATTCACATAAATCACCAAGTTCAATTAACTAAACCCACTTACAAAAGAATCATAAAATAGACAAACTCATAGAAAAAGAATAAACAAAATATTGCGTAAATAACCACAGATTTGTTCTTTAAACAGTTCAGAATTTTATAACCAAAACAAACCTAAAGAAGGAATCTGTATTTATTTTATTGGTTACTGTGATGGCTACAAGATGGCGATAGTGCACGGATAAAAAGGATTTCTTAGATATAGAATTTTATTTTTCTTAAAAATATTTATTTGAATAGAGTTAATTTGATTTGATTTAAGACGAATGTTTTGTTACAAGAATGTTCAATTTCTTTTAAATAGTAAATATATTTCTTGAAAAAAACTCTTGGTTCAAGAATTTTTCTTCATTGAAGAAACGCATTGCGTTAATTCAAGTAAAATATTTCTTATTTTCTAAAAATTACCCTTTTCTTGGGACAAGAGAATCAGGGCTTGTAAATTTTACTTGAAGAATATTAAAATTTATTGTTCTTGTATTAAGAAAATCTGATCGTTTGACTTTTCGTTTCAAGAATAATTATTAGATAATTTCTTGTATTTACGAGCTGTCCGTTGGGGAGGGGATAAACTTGTTTCATAATATGAAATTCAACGTCCTACACCCTCATTTGAAAAGTAACCCTGCTTGTGTTTACTTAAATGTTTAAAAATGAGTGATTATTCGAACGATTACAGTGCCGTAGACATTAGGTCATTATTGACTGAATGGAATACTCCAGAAAGTAGGGGTAAACCATTTTTTAACTTTTTTTGACACCACGTACATTTTTATTTTTATTTATTTGTAAATAAATCTTTGTGTCAAAAAAGTTCAAAATTGTTTACCCCTGCTTCTTAAAAATCCCGAATGTAGCTTAAATATTAACTATACTGAAGAAAATTTCAAATACTTGTTTGAAGAAGTACTCCTCTTAAATGAAATAAATATTATCTTTAACCAAGAATACATTTTATTAACGCAAGACACAAAATCTTTCTACAGAGAAAAGAACGGTTTCATTGAAGAATTCCTTTGATTAATGCGAAAAATAATGTCTTGAATGAAGAATAATTACTACTCCACCAAAACTCAATTATTTTTGTTTTTTTTTCTCAAGTAATTTTATTTTTTAATCAAGAATATTTATTCTCGACCCAAAATGCGACAATTTTAATAACAAGAGTTTTTATCATTCGTTTAAGACTGCTTATGTTCTTAAAAAGGAGAAAATATATTCTCCGAGGAAAACATGTAACACAAGAATAATTTTTACTGCTGGCAAGAAAATATTGTTTCGAAGAGATAGGAATCATTTAGTATCTTGAATGAAGTTAATTTAACTTGGCTGAAGAAATCCTTTTTTACAGTGTGTTAAAATATGTTTATTTTGGAATAGAAATATAATTTCGATTAAATCGATTTATTATAAAAAAAATAATACCATTTATTATTGTATTTTGAAAAACGTGTGAAGTATAATTTATCTAAAATTCCGAAACAGTGTTGCCACAACACCTGCTTATTTCCTTGGATGTAGGCGTGCCTGCCTCGCGTATGCTAATACGAGAGAAGGAGACAACTATGATATCGCATTGTAATAGAACGAGACAACAAGGCTAACGCCAATCGCGAGTCTAAATTAGTTCAGGCATGCTTCTGAGCCAATTATCTAGCTATAAATATTAGTTTAAATTGCGGTCGTTTCAAATTCAAATAATTTAAATGTTGCTGGGTATTCCACGTATAAAATCAATCAATTTTATTGACTATTTCACAATTCATGTAATCCAAATATTAAAAATTTATAGTATATTATAGAAAGTAAAATATTTAAATTATACTTAATTTTTTAATTATCTATGATGAGGCACTGCCTCACCTGTCTCTGCCACTGCTAGGGTGGCCTTTATTACTTTGTAAGTACCATTTTGTAAAATATAAATTAAAAGAACAAAGAAATTACGAATGTCAATGTTTTAGAAAGAGAGAGCAAACAGTTAGTAATTATAGCGTTATTTTTACGTATTTTTGTGGTATTTATATTGTTTTTATTACGTTATTCTCTTAATAGATTATAGGTAAAAATAACGAAATAAACCATTCCCCAAATTTGTTAATTTTTCGTATTTTTCTATGTATTCTTATAATCCAGCTTGTTTCATAAGTATCTATTAAACCATTAAAAAAGTTTTTGTTTTAATAAAAAATTAACTTTTTGTCGTAATTTAGTTAGTGGTCTGCTACAGTAACTTTTTTTGATGCCTCTATTTACTAATTACTTTTAGAGTCAAATTAATTGGTTTTGCATTAGATCACTTTGGGCAAAACATGTATTGAAAATTGATGTGGACGCGGGGAACCTTGAATATAAATCCAAAGCATTGTGCCATGTAATTACAATTTTCCAAAAGACCAGTTCAAATTAGATTTTATTTGACCGTCGATGTAAGATAATATAAATAATTATTACATAATATGTATATATTATATTCTATGGGGCTTTTGATTAAAAACTAGTTACCCTTAATAACTTTTGAGTAAAAAATATTTTAGTGTTCTCCCAGGTGAAAGTTTTAGAGTGAAAAAGTTTGTGTAAAACATCACATCATTTTCAATCATGCACCAAGCTGTTTAGTTGTGGTTTATAATTATTAACTAAAGGTAAGTCAATTAATACTTTAAAATTGACTATGGCGAAAACTTAGCAGCAGTTGGCATTTTATGATGACAACTTAAGCACTGAATTGCAAAGAGGACCTTCAAAGTTTTATTTTAAGATTATCACTGCAAAAATTTGGTATATAATTATATAGAAGAATTTCCCGATTCGATAGAAATTTAGTCACAAAATGGGTAAGAATTGGTTACCTGTATAAAACTACGAGATTTTAAGCTTGCTTTACAAAGAGCCATACAATTTACACCAATCTAACAGTGTCAATTGGTACTTTGTGCCAAAATATTATTTAGTGTTTTGAACGTATTTATATTTTAAGATTAGTTTAATATTTTGTAGCGTAAAACTTACAATGGACTGTATTTACGTATTTGGGTCATTTTCAAGAAACACCCGCTTTCAGGAAAATGAAGATCAAAATATTTTTTTTGCTTAAATTGACTTTTGGTTGGATTTTTATAAATGTTTAGAGTTTACATTACATTTAAGACAGGCAGTGCACTTTTTAATTTTTTTACGTTTTTTTCAGAAAAATGTGTTTAGCTAGCTTTATATATCTCCACTGTGTTACCAATTTGAAATCCAAAATTTAATTCAATAAAAAAAGTTGTTATAAAAATAATTTGAAATAAAATGTACTTAGTTCACAAACTTTTGACTCCAATTTTTTATTTTATTTTTTATTAAAAATTGTATGCTTTTTTTTTAAATATGTATGTTCGTTAAGTTACTTTTTAAAAGAAACCATTCCGATTCTTTGTTAAAAAAACAAAATTCTAATTTATAAACACGTATTACCAAGTGATAGTGTATAAAAATCATTTTAAGTATTTTTTTTAACAAAAACTAAAAAAAGTAACGAAATAGACATTGGTATCACAACGGACAGGGGTACACAAAGGACTTAATCAGATAACGTAAAAAAGAAACTATATAGGGTGGTACGATTTTATAGTAATGCATAAACAAAATCCCTTGTAGTGGTGCTTACTTGAAGAATAACAACTTAGATTTCTAAATTGTAGACATCCTTTTTTTTACTATAAGCTGGTGAAGGTCCCTTTTAGTACTTTTATATTGCGTGGAATTTTTCCTTGGATGTAATCTATATCATGAGTTGTAATTACAAATAATTTTAAATTGGTTAATCATAAACTACTTTTAATAAAAGCGACGGTAAATATCCACTTTGTTGTCGAAAAATTCTATTACGTTACCCTAAATTCCATTGCGTTACCATAAGGTAACATAGGGACTCGGTAACGCAGTGGACAAAGTTTTGTAAAACCATATTTAAAAAATAATAATAAGACATTATAGTCATTAATTACTCTCAATGAGCTTTAGTGCCCTAAAATAAACATAAAAATGAAAAATAGTATTTTTTCTTATCTAATTTTTATTATTTTTTGAGTAACTTAGCGGACAAACAATTATTACATTCGCGTTACCCGCACCTGTTTCAACCGATATCTTCTTCCTGATTGAATAAATAAATTCAGCTGGGTAATGTGTACGTCCGAACATAATTTGTTGATCACGTGAGCACCAAAAAAGTTGCCATATATATGTTTTTTTAATATTCTATCGGTAACGCGACGGACGTAACGCAACGGAAAAAATGTCTGGGACATGAGTCAAATTTAAAAGAAGTAGATTAAAATTAATTATTTTATATATAAATTGTTTACTGGATGTTATGGATTGCTATAAAGCAACACAAAGTTCTGGTTATTGAATATTTAAAAAAAAAACATGTATGTAAGTTTTATAAAACGCTAATGGGACAGTTTCAAAATAAAACAAAAATTTTCTGAAAGAGTTTACTAAGGGCTTGCTAGGCTTTCACTTGGTTTTTAAATCAATAAGATCCGATAATTTTTAACAAAGTTATTGGAATTCAAACTTACGGACAGCGGGAGGTAGGTATTTTTTGAAAACAACCCTACACTACAAGAGCACAACCTCTAGAGTTAAAACAACAATAAAATTCACACTAAATTTAAATTATAGTATAAAAAAAACTTCTCGAGTAAAAAAAACTAAAAATTAACAAAAAAAAAACAGATGAACGCGTAACAGAAAAAACAAGAGAAAATCTGGAGGGACGTCGGGTAGGAGAGGGATGATAGTTACGCATGTCAGCGTCGGCTATAAGAACGGACGCCAAACGCCGGGACGCTCACATTTCGTGTGGCGCTTTTCGCGATAAACCGGAAGTCTGACAACCTGACAGCCAAAAAAAAAAAATCACCAGATTTTTTTTCGCCCATAGGTTCGCGAAGGAAAAGCGACAAGAGGTTATTAATTTTATTTCCGATAATTTTTAATAGCGCGTTTTGAGGTAGCAGAAGTTTAGAGCCGGGATCCGAGAGCAACCTGTTGAACTGATCCAGACGAAAACCACAACGGTAAGTTATATATAAAACTAACAATATCGCTTCTTAACTGCATTAAAAAAATTATTATATCTTTTACATGGATACAAATAACAAAACAAGACTAACTAGACTGAAAAGATGAAGGTGGGGACTACATTTCCTGAACGTTTCAGATTTTTATTTTTTCCTCAACATAATGATTTCTGTGGGCAAAATTGGCTAATTTTGAAAATTATCAAGTTTTAATAATTTTTTTAATAAAGAAAATGATAGTCTGGAAACTTACAATAATAGTTACGTTTTCTATTGTATAAGTACTTGATACCTGAAAAAAGCAACTTTCTAGATTTAGCAGAATAGGCACTGGAGCCAGACAAAAATCACAAAAATTGGCAAATTATTACAAATCTTTAGTGGTTTACCATTCTTTTATGAGATGAACTAATTAGATAATAATAATTAATATTGAAAACATACTTACAAAACAGTAAAACAAAATTACAATCATTTCAATAATTGCCACAGAAAAAAGTTTTAGCCTCTTGTAATAAGTAAGAAAATGACACGAATTCAGGTTTCTAAAGGGTGCCGATTAAAAATAAAGCAACTAAAAATTAAAACGGCAACGGTTTTTCATATATGATACCTAAAAGATCATCCTCAAATTTTTTCATTTAAATAAAAAATCATGCAGCGCACTTTTAAATTCATTTTTGGTGTTTTCATTTGGATTGACTCTAAAAATAAACGATTTTTATAGTTTTTGAACAAAAACACTTTCAAGAGATTTTGTATTTGTTTTCAAGAGAACTATACTTATTCCACTAAGAACTTTTTTCTTCATGTAATTATTTCTAGAATTCCCACGTATTAATTGATTCTTATATTAAATTTAAATATTTACATTTTTTTTACACATTGATACAAATCATAAAAAGAGCATATCAGTATTTACTTTTATTTATTGTTGTTAATATTACCATATTATTTACAATCTTGTTGTTGTTATTGCCAATACAAAACAAATACAAATTTATATAATAAATTCGGGTTTAATTTTACCATCTGTAGATAATTTGGCGCATTACAAATTACGAATTTATATAACCAATTACATAACATGACTATTAACTAGATTTATGTTTGCGTTGACCAATAGCCCTACTAAACCATTATAAATAAAAAAATAATAAAAATAATAATAAACTAAAAAAATCAAAAAAAATAAAAGAAAATCTTCTTAAAAAGCAATCTTAACCCAAAATGCATAAATTCGTATTTAACATTTTAGAATATATATCTGGAACTTAAAAATATATTTATATTTTAAATTCACACAATCTGTCTGGATGTATAGGAGAAACTTTGCCACGGTAAAATGAATTTAAGCGGTTTTGTGTACGATATACCCCCTTAATGCATAAGAAAAACTTTCAAAGCACGTGTCAGTACCTGGAAAGCAATTAATTTGTTTTAAATGTGATGAAACTTACAAATTAATTAAATTACAATTTTATAAATTTAAATAAAAATCATTATTGAAGAACTGGTTCAAAATTTTCTATAGTAAGATCATTTTTTCAAGTTTAATCAAATTTATTTTAAAACTTTTTTCGTACTTCTTTTTAATGTATCATTTCATAAAAGCTTAGGTACATAGGGCATATATTTTTACTAGTAAACAAAAACAAGCTGATAATCGTTGGGATTTTTGTGTAACCAATTCCAAATAAAACATTTCTCCTTCTCAATTACCTAAAATTACTTTTTTTACTCGGGTCTTAATGCGTTTTGACCCTCTCCTGAAACGCGGTCAGAAAAGTTGTAGTTAGGTTAGGTAATGGATTTTTTACGTGGATCCTATAGGAGCAAAGTCAAGCTGAATCTTTTAGTTTAATCGACTGCTTCGTTTTTTATGTTGAAGCTTGGTGGTTGTAATGGATTCGGAATCGGAGAATTTCATTACCAAGGTTTAAGTTAATTTTTTGGTTAAAGTTTTTTTGACGTATCCCTATACATTTTAGGATTTCAAAGTAAATTTTTAATAACATTCGTTTGTTAATTTATTTATAATGTCAAAATACCTTAAATTCATCAAAATGCATCATCAAAATATTTTGTTAATTAAACTCAAAATTATATATCACAGATTATATCTAACGGATTCTTTATATTAAAATTGCTTAAATTATACTAATCAACAAAATATAGTTTATTAATTTGCATTTCGTTTTAATATTCTGCTAACACTGCTCTGGGATATTCCCAAATCTCTAGATAATTCTCGTGTGCTTGCATGAGGATTAGCGGCCGTTGCTGCTAATACATTAATTTCATTATTTTCACCTGTGACTTTTGCTCGACGAACTCTTTTTTTCGGTTGAACACTCCCGTTTGTAGTAAACTGCTTGACTGTACGGTGAAATGAAGTACGTGATTGAATTTTATCCGGAAAACGCTGAGCGTAGATATACAGCATCATCAAGATTCCTGCCTGCTTCTCCATAAATCAAAATCTTTTTTATTTTTTCTTCCACTGTTAAAAAATCCATTATGAATAACTGCTTAACGAAAGGAGGTCTTTTTGTTTGCAAATTAATCTTCGAACTAAATTGATTAAATAATGCTTAACTATAAATAGTTTCTTTATGCCTAAATTAGGATTATATTAATTAATTGACAAAATAATGTTTTTTTTTACCCAAAATGAGGTATTTTTATTAAAAATAGTACAATAATCCTTTAAATTAAAGGATTTAATGCTGGCAGGTAAAAAGTGACCATGGTGCGCAACTGATAATTATCACCGAATGAAATAATGTATAAAACTTAATCCAAAGGAAACTTAAATATTAGTGGGTACTTAAAAAATCAGATTTAATTAAATAAATTAATTATAACCAAAAAAGTGATATTTTTATAGAACTAACAACGTTAATTTTACCATAATTGTGCTACTTGAAAACACGGTCTATTCTCATTTGCATGCTCTTTTCACTCTTATTTGACATTTACAGTGTTGCGTAATACAGATCTTAAATATTTTTATAAACTAGTTGCATCTAGGCTAATGGCTTATAAACTTCGTTTACCTACCTACGAAGGTATTTGATTTTTTAAAGGTTACCTAGAGCATTTTCCGAGTTGTTTTCCCATTTCTGTGTTTACGTTGGAAAATACATCGCAAAACCTCAAAGGAAATGAAAAACCATTTATTCGAGGTAGGTAATACGTTTTAACTTTTTTTTTTTACTTTTACATCTGCATATTTTTCTCTTAAATCAGTCAGTCAAGTTGAGTGACACTATCATTAAAATTTTACACTTTCTAGACTTAAACTCTTATGGTTAATAAATTAAGGGCCTTTAAGAAATTACAATAAAGTTTAGTAGCACGGATTTTATAAATAAAAGTTTATTTTATACCCTTATATTTAAGGGAAAAGTGAGCTCTAAAACTTAAACGAAATTGTGGGGGATAAACGGTTAAAAACGCCAATCAAATTTTTATAAGAAACCTTATAAAACTTATTTATTGGACTTTTAGATTTTCTAGGGGCAGTGATATAATATTATAATTCTATTATGGGTATTTCTAATCTACATTTTGCCGGTTGTGTTGTGTTGTGGCGTGTTGTATGTACTTTCACAGTGGAGTTGGAATCATTAAAACTTTTTTGAAATGTTTTTGAAGGTAATTAAAATATGTAATATGTTAAATCAAATTTATGTTACTTTATTAGTGTTAGTATAAAAAACTTGCGCTTTTGTTGATATCAAACAATAAATGTCTTATTTTATTTAAATATTTTTTTTGAAACCTTTTTTTCAATCAATCTTCTATAGTTTTCAACGATGCCAATATTTAGGCTTGGACTCCCCTCACTAAGAAGGTCCTTGATTTTAATTGTTAAATGCATGTTTCAATAATTAAAATCAAAAGGCCTATGTGGTGAGGGGAATTTAAGCTTAAATACACTCAAACAAAATAGTAGGTAAAATTAACCACAAAGAGCATATGAAAATGCGTCTACCCAGTTCTATAGTTAAAATAACCAATATTGAATTGTAAAGTGCAATTTGTAACCGTACTTTTTTTATTGTTACTTCAAACATTAAGTTTAGTTGGTTTACCCATCATTATAGTTCTACAACAAATTAATTGGCGCTGCAAACAAATAGTAGCTAGCCACCAACACGTGTGTATTGGAAACAAATTAAAAGGTATACCAACAATTATTTTTGTTATATTACTTTTTTTTTGTTTAAGCAAACATGCATGTTCTTTAGTTGGGCACCAAATTAGGTGGTGTACGCTAATATTTAAAATTGATGAAAAATAAAACACTCTTTTCGTAACAGAATTTATTACTAAATTTTTATAACAAATATAATTACCATTGGTCCTACTAAAATGGTTTACATACCTTTTAGTAGGTCGAATAAGTACCCAAACCCCCAGCTGGATAGCAAACTTCCTAACTGCGAATCCGATTCTGTGTCTGTCTGTGCCGAGCTTAAAATTGAATCAACCAATATATTTGTAAAATCTAGTGTATCTCTGAAGGGCTCGTGAGGATCCATTTCTACCAAATTTTTACACTTAAGTATATGCACCTCACTTCACCAGAATATTACCTTAGGTCCTAAACACCAAGGCCTTGATTTTCTTACAATTTCCGAGCAACACACATAGATTAATAACCTTTGGCAACACACACGTTAATTACCGCCCAAATCTAGAACTACAATGAGACAAAAACGAGGAAGAAGGGGGTAGGCCGGGTACCGAAAACATACGATTTTCTATAGCGGACTGGTAAATCCAATCCCTTAAATAAGGTACACGGACTTTAATATGTTTACCTAAACACCATTTATGGTTGTTTTTACTCTTTTAATAGGTTCGTGTATTTGTGGGATAGTGAAGTAAACACATTATGATTAAAAATACAATATAATAGTATTTAAATTGTAAGTTTACAATTATTTTGTTTGATTTAACAAATTAGAGGTGAGATAAACAAAAAT